CTGTGAATGCTACAACTATAAACACAACTTGTGAGACAAGATGTGCTTACAAGTACAATAGTGGCAGTACTATTGTAGGTAATGTACAACTCTTGGAATAGAATTGAGGCCTGCTCCACAGGAGGTAATATATGTGTACACACAGACACACACACACACACCTTTGCTCCCAAACTTATGGCTGGGACACTATACTACTGTTGTCTGACAGGACACTAACCTACTAAATACTGAAGGCTTATGCTCTTAGATAAATGCCACTACTGACTCCGAGACGCTTCTTTGTGAGTGACTAACAATGAATGCAGACTCATGTCTGCTCAAGGTGCTAAGAATAAGTGATAGCTGAGGATGTTTATACACCTCCTCTAAGGCTTAATTAGAAAGCACTGTGGAAGAGGGAACTCAAAGAATGTAAAAGTGGGAAGAAAGGAAAAGGGCTGCAAAATCTTCAGGGCATGACTGAAAACATGCTCTCACGGCAGCTATGGTTGGCTGCACTGTGCTTTACAAGAGTAGGCATGTCAACAGTCAACCATGGATAGTGGGGGGACTCATGGGACCTTACCCAACCGTGCTGAACTGACAAATTCCAGAAGTTAGAGACTACAGGTGCATACCCAATGGTGATAGTTCTGAACCCATGCTCCCCCAGTGAGATCCACCATCTGACAAGGCCCCTCCGAAGGTGGCTGCTAACAGATATCAAAGACTGTGCTAAGGACAAATGCAGAGGCCACGAGTGCTGAGATGTGCTATGGATTGAGAACGACCTCTGGGTGCCTGTGTTTTCAGAGACAATGAGAGCAGGAGGGCTCTAACTGTGAGTGGACGGACGTTTAGGATGACAAGGTGCTTGGGAGGTGGAGAAAAGTAGGAGCTGGGGAAGCAGGAGACAGTGACCACTGTGGGCAAGTCTTTAGGGTGATATCTGTTTTTACTCCTTCCTCAGCTTAACTGCCCACCTCATCTCCCTTGCCTGTATGGACATCTCCCTGAAACTCCCAGGAAATAAGTTATTCTTCCGATATTGTTTTTGTCACGTATTTAATTGCAGCTACAAAAAAAAAAAAAAAAACCCCAACTACTAGAAAGTCCGCTGAAATGACAGTGATAGTCTAAGCCCCATGGCCCCAGTGAAACAGCTATGCTTCTGTGCAGTGTGGCCCGGCCAGCTGCTGACCCCTGTCCTAGTCTCCATTTTGTCCTCTTCCTAAGTCTCCTGTGACTCCTCTTCCCACTCGCACTGGCACTCACCTTTGCCTACCCGTTCACGTAAACACTTTCTTTAATAACACTTTCTCAAGGTTCACTGCAGACGCCATGCAGTCATTAAGAAGCACCCTGAGCTTCCCTCCTTGACCTTCCCAGAATACCCAAGGTGCACAGCTCCTGCACCACCATCTTATCACTAGCCTCCTTGCTCCTCATGACATGGGGTCTTGGCATCCTTGTTCTGAAGTGCTTGGGCGGACCCACTAGCTGGCTGCGGGCATTTCTGCACATCCCAGGAGTGCGTGAAGCAGTGCTGGCTCCCAAACAGCAATGACAGTCGTGTTTGCCAATACAGTATAAGCAGACCACTACGTCAGAGTTGTCTGAGGTTTGAGCACAGTGGCTGGAAAACAGTTCTGCTTCCCAGGCAGTGCCTTTGTGAGAGCCGCAGCTGTCAATAGCTGGTGGGAAATGGAGTGAGGGGCCTGATGCATTCATCTCTGAATCATCCACAAAGCGATTTCCAGTGGGAGATTTTGTGATGATTTTTGCTGTCTTTAATAGCAAAGAAAATTCTGTCTCTGAGAAGAAAGTCATTGTACCTATTGCCATGCTTCATTTCAAGCCATCTTTTTAAAATAAAAGCATCTTAGTTTCCTTAAAAGATAAACAAACAAAACATTCCTCTAAATGATCACACAGTTCTTAAGTCAACAAAGAGGAAGCCTGAAAAATATACAGTACTTTTGAAAGAAAGACATAGAGCAACTCTGCAGAGAAAGGCTCCAGGTAATCAGGGTTGGGGTCCTCGATGGCAGTTCTGAGCACTCACTCCAACCCTTACTACCTCACCAATGCCCACCAGAGACTGCACTGCGAGAAGAGCTGCAGAGACCATCTGTGCCATGAAGTCTAGATGGGGTCCTGGCACAGCAGTGACACGCTAAGGAGAGCTAGGTGACAGCTTCAGTTAGCACCCAGTGTCCAGGCCTAGATGGACTGAAAGCTGGTGACATGGAAAGCAATGTAGGTGAGGGAACCCTCCACCAGCCACACAGCGTCCTAGACATACAACACTGTTCTTCAAAACTAAAGTTGCTTTTTAAAAAACACTCAGAAATTAAAAAGAAAAAAAGACTCCTCCAATTATTTGTTTAAAATCTTTAACATTTCTAACATTTAAGTAAATCCACACGTCCAATGCATGGGCGCTCTTTGATATTCAGTCTTAGGTCTCTATTGAACTGATACAACACTATTACCAGAAGCAACTTGAGGAGCTAGGGGTTTCTTTCATCTTCCAGTTTGTAGTCCATCACTGGGGAAGTCAGGGCAGGAACAGGGGCACAGGAAATGGAGGAATCTTGCTTACTGGCTTACTCCCCATGGCTTGCTCAGCCTACTCTCTTACACCATCCAGGACCACTTGCCTAGAGGTAGTGCCACTCACAGTGGGCTGGGCCCTTCCATATTAATTGTTAATTAAGAAAATGCCCCACAGGCCATCTGGTAGGGTCATTTTTCAATTGCAGTTCCTTCTTCTCAAGCTTGAGTCAAGTTGACAAGACACCATCCAGAAGATTATTAGAACACAGAAAACCTTAAAAACACAATGATGATGATGGTGTCAAGCTCACTAAAACCATCTCCCTATGAGTGGCTCACTAGCTGGCTCAGACAAACCCCGCTCTCCCATATGAGCAGAGGCAGACGGCACAGACTGCCCTCCACTCACGGGAATCAAGGCAGGCAGCGGCTGTGTTTTATGGTGTTAATGTACGGAGCAGGTGGGCTTACAGTCAGCATTCTGGGGTCTCCCTAAGTCTCATGAGCAGCAGCAGCAAGGCACCAAACAGAGCTTCTGGAAGCAATGCACACAGTAGGGATGAAATCTATAGGAAAGCAGGAAGGCTGGAAATACATCAGACCTTATGGAACCTACACACAGCTTGATATTAGAAGAGATTATCATTTTAAAAAGTTTGAAGTATTTCCCCCAAACAAATTTAAAAACAAAATAAAAATGAAGATCAAATAAAGATCACTTTAATTTGTTGCAGTAAATTATTCTTCCTAGGAATGATCCTAAGCAGAAGCGGAGCGACAAAAAGAGTGAACCATAGCAGGGTAAGTGTTAGGGCACTTTCCCAGTCTTTAGTCAATACTGTCTCCACAGTCCCCATAGTGACTTGAGGGACTTGAAATGTACGGAGAATTAAGACACATCATCACAACAGCCCACAGGAGGAGTTGGGCAAACAGGGCTCAACACAGCCTGTGACTTTACACTGCCTACAACAGGAAAACTACCAGCATTAGACTCAAATATATCAAAGACGACCATTTTAATTACCAGGTTAATCACTATAGTGGTCAACTAGTAACAGAATGATGACCAGTTGGCAAACAGAGGGACATACATGAAAAACAGAAAAAAATGTAATCTCCAAAAGGTGAAATATAAATAGGACAGGTCAGAAAACACTATGAGACAACCTATGTAAGTACTTCTTCCAATGTAACTGGATAAATATTACAAATACTCAGAATAATTAGAGGGTTTTATTTTTTTATTTTTATTTTTTTTTTGTGTGTGTGTTTTGTTTGTTTTAATACCTTCAGGTAACCAGAAAGAGGCTGACGTGAAAGGGAACAGAAAATAAATCCTGAGCAAATACTAGCTGAAGACAGTCTAAGGTGCTGGAGCAATACTCATGAGAAGAAACTTGAAGGCAAGCTCTGTGGATAGGGTACAGACGGTAATGTCAAAGGCACAAGAAGGGAAGTACTAACCACCCCGCTAACCACATACCTGCACTACCAATGAGGCCAAGGCTGACAGAGGGAGGCAGGTCCAGCAATGCTGTAGCCCGTCCTCCTGAAGCTGACAGAGAGAAAGCTGGACCTGAATGAGGCTATTTATGGCAGAGGGAGGCAGAGAGTCTGTGGACCTGGAGGCCATAAGGAGCAGCTGTATCCACTCAGGTAAGATCTCAGTTCAGACACAGACCATGGTAAGGAGATACCTTATGGCTGTGCTCTCAAATGTATATGGTGAATACAATTATTTTCAAAAAGGCCCAAAGAACTTGTTTAAAAGAAAATGTTGAGTCTTTCAAGTAAGGGAGGGGGTGGGGGAAACAATTGACCACATTGAACCCTTAATCAAAGCTCCAGTGGTCTGCAGCCTCTGCTGCTCAACTGACAGTTCAGGCAGCTGTCTTCGGATGCAGACCCACGTGTTCACTTCCAGGCAATAATTTCACACTTTCCAATAACCAACATGCTACAGCAGACCATGGACAGAGGACATTTCCCACTCCAGGATGCTGCTTGGTACAAGCTACTGGTCTTGTTAGGCCCCTGACCCTGCCTACATGGCTGGAAATAACAGCAATGGAGGAACAAAAGACTTGTGAAGAAGAAGTGTAAACCAGAGGAAGGTATGAGGAGGGGTAGCTGCAGTTTCCATGACTGCATGAGCTCCACCATCCCTGCCACAACGTACCACTTGGTTGGAGGACATTCCATAGAAATGTAAGGCCTCACAAATGTAAGCCTTAGAGATGCAGTGAGGAGTAAGGTGACATCAGATGTCACTGTGAAGAACCAGAGCTATTAGCTAAAGAATGGAAGATATGTGTCCATCAAGACACTGGGTCCATTGTGTGCCTGAGGGCTCACTGCTTTATCACTAGAAATGAGGGGGACAGCAGATTCATTCTTCACAGAGGTGGCTTAGTGGCCACATGTGTCCCTGACTTTGCCCCCCTGGCAGGGCTCACCTTTCTGAAGCTGTCGTAGATCCGGCTGCCCTGATGAGCTCCAATAGTGATTTCTGGGAGGTAGACCGGGATGGTTGTGTAATTTAGCACTTCTGTCTTATCCTGAACCCTGAAAAGTAAGACAAACATGAATTTCAACAAGCCATCAAAATAAATACCATTAGGCAAACATTCTTAGCTCTTCACATATCTATAGGGACTGCAGAGATGGCTCAGCAGTTAAGAGCACTGGCTGTTCTTCCAGAGGATCTGGGTTCAATTTCCAGCAACTGCACAGCAATTCACAACTGTCTAGAACTCCAGTTCCAGGGGATCTGTCACCTTCACACAGACATAAATGCAGGCAAAATACCAATGTACATAAAAATAAATAAATCTTAAAACAGTAACAACAAAAAACCCAACCAAACAAAAAAAGCGAAACCAAAACAACAACAACAACAAAAAACCACCATTAACTAAGATAAACGCTATTCACAAGCAGGCATGTTCAAAGCATCACTTCTTTTGAAGATCTCTGGGGCCATGTAGCCATTCTGCTGAAACAGCTCCAGAACTGAGGGAGTTCTGTGAAGCCCTGATGCCTTCACATAGTGAGCTCTGGATGAAAGGTTTGGGAAATGGAAAAATGGAGCCAATGTGTGCTTCACACAATAGCAGAGAGAAATCTACCAGCAGATGGTAGGTCCCCACGGTCTGCACACTATGCCCTCATTAGACAGATGTAACATCAATGCCAGTGGGGAGGCACTGTCGTGCCTTTCCACAGGTACCAATGCTTGTAGAAAGCAAAGTGACAGGACCACGTGGAACTCGATAGGTAGCACATGGGGCCATATTCGTCATGGGTCAGCTTCATTTCTGGTACTAATAATACCAACTATAATCTTCTACCCTGCTGAGTCAAGAATGTTTATACAACTGTTACAGCTCATTCTCTTCAAAGTTAGGCTCAGCAAAATCACTATGCTTAAAGAGACAAACCCTTCATTTTTTCTTTTTCTTTTTTTTAAATTAAATCTGGGCATAGTCATGCAGGCTTGAAATCCATGAATGCTAGAAACCCTAATACTTGGGAAGCTAAGGAAAAGGAACTGCCACAAGTTTGAGTCCAACCTGGGCTACCTGATGAGACAAATGTCTGAGGGGAAAAAGGCACTAAAATTTTTCTTATTGTTACAGGCTCAAAAACCAAAGTAATTATTTTCAACAGATACTTAGCTACACCTAAGTTGTAAAGGCAACAGAAGGTGCTTCTTGCTTGCATTTCCAAGTGTAGATTCTGTTACTGTATCTGGCTCCTGTGGTTAGACCTAGGAAGTGTCCAGGCTTGCTATGTAAACTTGCAGACAGCCAGTCCCCACAGAACTAGAACAACCCAAGAGGAATGCATGGTGTGTGGGTCCACGGTTCACGCTTCCAAAAGAAACCACAGGGAAATGAGGACTGTGTCAGGCTCAACTTTGTGGGTGGCAGGAAGATCACAGCCTACTGTAGCACAAAGGAGCCACTCCCACAATGATCCAGGGCTTCAAATCCCCCAAGCACAGCTGTTCAGATAGCCCTGCTTGCCAGTCCTCCGGAGTGGGTTTGCACTTGTTTAGGTAAGTGGCCATACTAGACACAGGAGAAGATTAAGATTGCATTTCTTAGCTTTCATATCCTATCCAGTTGGTTTTTTCTGCCAAAAGAAATGAAAACATTTAAAAATAGTTCAAGCATGCAAACAGTAAAGTCTGTAGAGGACTCAGTAGCTGTGCTCTGTAAGCTTGCTCTGATTAGCTATTAGATGAAATTCCACCGTGCCAAAGCCCAACTTCAGCACTACTTTCAAGACCTCCCTCTCCACAGGGACAACTCTTCATGACTGACTATGCCAGCAGCGTATGCACACACAGCTGTCTACTGTAACACACAGGATTATTCTGTACCTGCTAGTGTTTAATTCTGTTGAAGTGGTAACAAAATATTTCAACTAAAAATGAAGTACATGGTAAATGTTAACAAATATCAAAGAGAGGTGTTCTGGAAGTATGTAAAATATAGAACAACAGCGCCATCTATCCAAAATTACAATTTACACACTTCCCAGAAAAAGAACAAGAAGGCTTTAAAAGTACTCCATTCTGTACCTTACTTAAACCTGGAGAAACAACTCTTGGCAGAGCTCAGAAGATGAGAAGAGACACAGCACACCTCCAGTAAATACTTGTCAGATAAGCTAGAGATAACCTCCTTGATCAGAGATAATGAAAAACTAAAGGCACTGGGAAGCCTTTTATGACTCAGAACACAAAGCCAATAAGGAGTTCTGCTTACACAATGCATACTTGGTTAGATACTGCAGATGGAAAAACCCAGCTGAGAACAATGTTCCTGCCACACCAGTGTCCAACTATGATGAGATGAAGTCTCACCAGCTGGTTAGTACCATGGAGAGACAGCTTTAACCAAAAGCACTGAGACAGGACAACAGAAAAGAGTACAACAGCAACTAAGGTTTTATGACTGAATATTTCTCCAATAGGAGAGATCCCACTTTTCTCCCACCTTCCACAGGTTAATTTACTTCCTCCTGAACTGTCCTTCTGCCTGAAACCATGTGGAGAACTTGCATCCATCGCCACAGAACTAGATCTCTGTCTGGAAACTTCCAGCAGCTGCAGTGAACCTCATGGGCAGCAGGTGGGGCTGGGTGGTTGGGTAGGGGGGTGCGTGCACTGACAAATGTAACTGAAATTAAACAGAAATGTTCTAAAGCAATAATTTGGTCAAGTTCTGGACCAAATAAGTATAACTGGCAAGTGGCATGTTTACAGTAATTGTCTCAGAAAACAGATCATAATTTTCACTCAAGAAATTAAGGTCAACACAATTACCATTGAAAACTTATGAAACTGAGGAGGAATACAACACAGGGAAAGGACAAAGCCACAGTAAATGAAATAAAAGCAATTAATTGGATGTTGTAACTCACAAACTCTGGGAAAATTACAGGATACACAGCTCTATACCCTGATAACCATATAACTAAGTAATTACCAAAATTATGATTTTTAAGCATGGGTCAGATCAACACGTGTTTCAGATCACATTTAGAAAATGATATGGTATTATCTGTGGGAGGTCAAAAGCCAGAAATACTTCTCAGTCTCAGTGAGTCTGTTTGGGTCTTAGACAGTCTCTTTCCCGAATGCTAACTCATACATTCTGCCCAGGAGAACTGAGCATAAAAAGCAAAGATTACAAGACATTTGTGTGACAGACCCCCAGCATTAAGAGGAGGTGTCATGGTGGTAACAAGGCAGTGGTGACTGCACAGGCTGTGAAGAAATGAAGTTCAACACTGGGCTTCAGATCACCAGGTGCTAGACCAGGACAGAGGCTGCAGTTCCTGAGCCAATGCAGAACAGAAATGTCAGTGCCTGGGAGCACTCTTCATAAAGGGGAAACAGGAACTCTCTTAACTTAAAAACAAGCAAGCAAAACAGACCAACCTCTGGAGGTGTACTGGAAAACAGTTAGTAACTGACCAGAAGCAGAGATCCAAGATGAGGACGTCTAACCACCACGGCAGAGACAGCAGGGTCAGGAGAGAAACCACAATGGAGTACATCAACCTTCAGACTAGACTTAAGGGAGAAGTGAAGGTTAGCATGAACGGAGGGGCCTAACTTACCATTACAGCCTCAGACTCAACCCCAAGCACATGACAGAGCAGGGCAAGACTGGCATAGGCTCAGAGCACCGCAGCAGCTCCACTTCTGGAGTTCTTCCTGACAGACATCTCACGGCATCTCCAACATCTGAGGTCTCCACTGCAAACCAGCCTTTACTTTCTCAGCTTCATGCAACTATCTTTTTGGCCTCTTGTCCTCTTAGGGCCAGCCTTCATGCAGGACTTCCCTGCCACATGCTGCCTGGACTCATAGCTCTCTGAAACCACAGAAGAATTCCTGACTCCTCAATTCTTGTGTATTTTGTGCCTCTAGATCCAATACCATTTAGATAACACTGCCAAGCTCAGCAGCCAGCTTGGGATAGCCCCTCACACTGCCAAGTTCAGATACCAGCTTGGGATGGCCCCTCTTTGCCTTTGACCACATTGGTATGGTGAAGCTTTCTAGAAAAACCACTCAAGCTTCCTCATAAAGTGGAAGCTTAGCAGGACAAGGTCTTGTGTCCTGGGCAGCTTATTCCTCCAATGAGAAACAGGTGGACTCTCCTTAAACTAATCTATTTAAATAATTAAAGCCTCTCTTGACCGAGATGCCTTGGCTGAAAACATTAAACTTCCTAGTGCTTTTTTCTCCCAATTATTTATGTTGTTATTTCTTTCTGTTCCATTTGCTCTTTCTTAGTGTAGAATTATATATGGATTATCAATAATAACCAAACCACAGACTCAATGGTATACTCTCTTGAAATTTCCTCTGCCAAAGAGATTAGTCTATTACTTAATTAACTTCAGGCAAGTTCTCAGGACAAAGGCAGAAGACAGCCAGATTCTTTGCCAAGATATCACAACCTAGTTGTTGGTAAAGTCCATACATGAGTATGACCCTCAGTGCTACTGACTTTCAAGTTCCTATTAGAAAAGTCCACTAAGTTCTCCTTACAAAATTCAACTACTTTACTAATCCAAAACACCAAAGCCTTCCACATTCCTTAAAACAAAACAAATAAAACATGATCAAGTTCTTCACAGCAAGAGCCCACTCTCTAGGATCCAAACTTCTAGAACAGCAGGGTATAAGGCCATAGAATCAGGAAGCAAAAAATTTCTTACTGGGATACTTGGGGTGACAGTAAACGGAATCATTCTTATTTCCACACTCTGATACCTAGACTGGCTATAGGAGAAGCAGCACTACATACTGAATGCTGATTCAAAGCACATACTACCTTCTGGAGAACCCTGAAGGGGAGGGAACTCTTCACAGTGAGCACAACTATGGGCAGCATACATGGTTGTACATTTTACTTGGAAAGAGGAATAGCCAGATGTGTGAGTGTCTGTATATTGATTTATGGGCTGTGGACAGTATTTTGGCAGGATGGTCAGGGCTACAGAAGGAGGTAACTGCTTCCAGCCTGCTTGTCCTCATTTTTGCTAGCAAGTCTGTCTATCCTGCTGTTGCACTATTCATGCACCAATATTAGCACCAACTTCTTCGGTATTCTAATGTATACTTAAGACTCTAGGAATCCTCCAGGCCTTCAGCACCAGATAGGACCAGTTAGGACCAGATAGGGAGATCCAGCCTCATGGACTGAACCCCTGCCAGAGTCTCAGCCCCTTCAGTGTGAAATAGCTATTCCTGGATTATCACAACAGCATTCTATAAACCAATCTAACAACACACACACACACACACACACACACACACACACACACACACACCCCTACCTCTTCAAGGGAACTGAATGTATGACTCCATTTTAAGTAGTTATAGGTATGCCACGGTATCCACAAGGGATGATTCCAGAGACCCTGTGGATAGCAAACTCTAAGGACATAAAAAGCACAGTAATGTCACACAGCCTCCATCTTTCCAGCCACACACTTTCAGTAATCCTCACTGTGGACACAGCTGTCACACCACAATGCTTGAAGAATACTGAGAAGGAAAAGTCTCCACATACTCAGCACAGTCACAATATTTAAACAACAACAGCAACAGCAACAGCAACAACAACAACAAAAACTTGGCTGATGTTGTGGCTAAAGTAGGCTAACTGCACATTTCTTAGATGATGTTACAATATACTAAGAGATTATATCTTGCAGCAAAATGGAACCATGCCAGCAACACTATAAGGGACAGAGGGTGCACCCTGCTGTCAGCCACCTGCCCTCCTGTGGAATGACACTGGACACAGATGAGCTAGGAATGATAGGAAAACACAGCAACTGAAAATGTAGGGTTTTTTTCTAAAGTATGAAATGCTGATACTAAGAATATATTAAATGATCAGTTAAATTCAGAGATGGAGAAAGAAAACAATGTAGTAAGTAGAAAGCACAAACCATGGAGAAATGGATTCCAATAGTACTGCTCATTTTAATGTAAAAGATCCAAGTTTAGAAGATTCAACTGTCAGACAATATGAAAGAACAAGACCTAACTACTTGCTGTATAGGAAAATGACTTAAAATTGAGATAATAAAAGTCAAAGAATGGACAAAAAGATGCCATGCCTCTGAGAGCAACAGTATCTTTAATATAACATTTCAGACAGAGGAAATTTCAGAACAAAGGAAAACAGCAAGCACATGCAGATGAGCACTACCTAACTAGAAGATGTATTTAATAACTATCGAAACACAAGGCAAAAGTCAACAGGACTCAGTGCAGACCTGGGAGAACAGAGGGCACACATGACCCATTCACCACATGCTCGGCTCTGTTTATAGGCAGGCGCAGCACTCCCTGTCCCACAGCAGAACCCACACTATCTGCTCAATGGACCATGAGCCAAGACAAAAGGCATGCCAGCCAGAAGACACCTGAATGGAGGAGAAAGAAGAGAAATAGGCAGCATGTTTGCAGATCACAGCAGGGTGTGGGGATGAGGGAGGAGAATGGTAGATGGAAAGCCCCAGATACAACACCAAACAACTTATTCCTAAATCATATGTGAGACAAGGAAAGTCTCAACAGAATTCTGAAAATATTCTACCTTAGTGAAACTAACAATATTCTTTATCTGCTGTATAGCCTCTGGTACCTCAGAAACTCCAGGTTCTCTGTGGTGTTAAGTTAGCTGGGAAGCTCCTGAGACTATTTTTGTTGTAGTAGTTTGTTCTTTGCTGTGAATGTGGCAGGAAGATGCTCCCAGCAGTCTTAACTGGAAGGAAGAAAGTAAGTGATGGGCTAAATGAGCAAGGTGTATAGAAAAGGCCTGAGGAAGCAGCACTCAGCTCTCTGTGTCTGAAGGTTACCAGGAGTCAGACTTGGGAGTGGCCTTTATAACTCAATAGTTCTATGCCCTAGTTTGCTTGTATCTCCCACTATAATGTGTCTCTGCTGAGAGCAGAAATTTTATTTGATCCTAAAGTCTTTCAAACTAAAACCAAACCTGGCACAGAGCAGAAGCAAAATAATGACAGAATTAATAACAACAAACCACTATGTACTGAGCCCACCAGAGAGCTCAAGAGTTGCTCAGAAGGAAAAGGGCAAACACCTCAGTTGTGGCTGGTGCAGTTGACAACTCAGTTGAAGCATTAACTATTTAAAACTGTCTACTTCTACAGCATGCAGCAGACCCCTGCAGTGTACACCCAGGAGTAGTTTGTTCCCTCCCCAAAAGCTCTCCCAGCGACTCACAGCATCCGCAGGTTGTGAAAGGTCCGATCATCCTGTTTAAGCCAAGGCCCTTTGTTGTAGTTAAGGTATTCAATGTCCTCTACCACCTAAAACAACAGAAACAGAGAACCCCAGCTCAGAATGTGAATGAGGCAGCACTGCAGGTTCACAAAGTCTTGGCAGATCACACAAACCAAGACGACATACAGATCAAGAAGAATAAAATGGCGGGACTTGAGTGGGCTCAGCATGACCCTGCCTCATCAACATTCCAAATTAGCAAGGGAACAGAAACTGTCCCAAGACAGGAAGAAAGGTAGGATGAGAGGAAAGCCAACATTAAGGACAGAGTACTTATCTTCCTAAACAAGTTCCTTCTGGAAGGGAAGACAGCCACACAGAGAAGCAGAGGAACCTGCACACCAACATATTCCTGGAGAGCCCAGGCCTCTAGTCCTGTCTTTCAGAGAGGCAATCTTCTCACATTCACTGTTCTTCCAGAACATGCCCAGCTCCGACCTCATTTAAAAGTCAGAGGTTCATTATTCTAAGATATATCATCTAAACATATGTCTAAAAACCAATCAAAAGGCACAAAAAGAAACTGAATATGAACAACTTGGTGTTGGTCCAGGAAGGTAGTGAAACTAGCCTTTCAGTCCAAGTAGGACAAACCAGGAACTAACTCAAAAGAATGCTTATAGGAGGAAGCAACAGAGCCACACTAGAACACAGCCTCCTGAGAGCAGAATGCTGTTCCCTGGTAGAAGAGCTCACCAGGTCCCTTTCCTCCTGCCCTCTGTACAGAGGAACTGAGCATGTAGGTGGCTCACAGTCATCAGCTCTCCAAGCTCCTTCTGCAGGTCGGAGGAGCCTGAGCTGGCACTTAAGTCCTGAATTTGTATGCTTCTTATAGTTTACTAACCCTTTGCTGACCTTCATTTCTGTCTAAGACTGGGTCTCGCTATGCAGCCTTGGCTAGCCTGGAACTCACTATACAGATCAGGCTGCCTCACACTTGCAATAATCTTCCTGCCTCTGCTTCCCAAATTTTGGCATTACAACAAGCCTCACTAGGCCAGGTCTGTTTGCAGGTAATTGAAGTTTTAGATACAATGAATATACAATGAAACATAAGGCAGAACTCCAGGCTGGGGTGGTGGTGGTAGTTAGTTTTTGTTAACAGGGTCTCACTAAGCAGCCCAGGCTGGTCTTGACTTACTATGTAGTTCAGGCTGGCCTCGAACTTGTTTTTGTTTTTTCACCAAATGGGTATTTATTTACTTTAATGCCATTTAAGAAATGATTTACTCCCTCTTATTTTACTTTTTGACTATTATTATCTTGAAGGAACTCTGCCAAACTAAGATAGTCTTCCTGTTCTGTTTCTGCAGTCTGGTGAACCAAAGCAAACTCACAGCGACGGGATGATCTGTTATTTTGGCACTAACGACACAATCTTTTCCTTACAGTGCATACGCTTTTGTACTTGGGAAAGCAGATGTCCTGAATTACTCCTTTTCAGAATTTTCTTGGTTGTTACTCATTAAGTTCCCTGAAAACTCTATCAAGACTAACTGGAATTTCATAAAATGCAGAGTTATTAACTGGAATTTCACAAAATGCAGACTTAAGGAAAACAGATCTCTTTAAATAACTAACTTTTCCTCTGAACTAACACAAGGTTCTGTCATGTTTTTTGATACAGGTTCTAAGGCATTTTGCATCTTTGCTATTTATGATTTTAAGATCATACACACAAAGCTATTTTTTGAAAAGTCAAAAGTTCCATAGCTCAGGGAGGTTGATGAGCAGGGTACTTCGGGTGGATTTTGCCATTTGATTACGAAATGCCAATGCTTGTCAACTCGTAGGAATCAAATTCCTCATGTGCTCTGGGGAACCCTGTACATCAAGTTGAAAAGCACCTGCCGCTGGCTGGCATCACCCCACCTTGGTCGAGTCTTCAGCTTCCCAGGAACTGTACACCAACACCTCGCACATCTCACTGTAAGACAGATCGAGAGGCACAGGGTCAGCATTTCCAGGGAGCAGGTCTGCTCAAATGCCCAGCAGCCACTAGAACCCCTTGCTCTGACACAAGCGTCCCCCACCATCTGTGACCTGGATGTCCTGGAACTCACACAACCAGAGTGTGACACAAAGATCACTCACTTCATTTTGTTTTTATTTGTAGTTTTAAGGACTTTGAGGATTTAAACAACACCCTGAAGATTTTTCAGTCTCAAACAATCTAACTGTTACACACAATACGCCAAGGACCAGAGAGCCATGTGGAGTGAGGACAGCACAGTTCCCTCACACTCTAACACAACAGGGATGGAGGGAGATTCATCTGGTAATGCTGACCCTAACTTTGCTGAAGGATGCCCCCTCGAAGGACCTCTGGGACTATGTATTCATGGCCTTCCTCCTCGGGCATGCTGAGTGTTTTTTCTAGATATCTACCCACTACCTGAATAAGAATGCACAGGACCTCTAGTGCTAAGACTTGTCATGGACTGGAGCACAGATTTACTTTTAGCATCAAGAATTTTAAGGATAGAACAGGAGAGGAAAATTAAAAACAAAAACAAAAAACCCTACCCAAACAAATGTACAAAACCTGAATTGAAAAGGCTCCTGTTGGCTCTGCAGCGAGGCCATGAGTGGAGAGAAAGCACTCTGGGATGTATGGCTCCAGCCTCTGCAGGGCAGTTTGAGTCTTACACATTAGCACTGTGCTGGGCTCACCTCATTTGGGGGAGGAAGGTTTTCTTGTAGGCATTCTCGATGTCCTGGAGATAGGCAGAGGTGACTTTCATTTCATGTGGCTAAACAAAAGTAGAGAAAACATCCCAGGAGGCGTTCAGATTCTTTTTTTTTTATATATATACATATGTAAAACATGACCACAAGTGGAGGCACTCTTCTAAAGAGTTACCAGCTGCAAGGGCTTAAGGAGACAGGCAGTGAGGACACCCCCACCCCCACCCCAGTCTTTCGGTTGCTCCTCACCAAATGAAGACATTAAGGGACACACCCCCAACCCCGCCCATCATGAGACTTGGAGGCCCGCCCTCTCTGGATGCCCCGCCTCCCTACTGTGGACCTTCTCTCCACCTCAGTGCATTCCTTCCTTACCAACCCCACTAATCTTTTCACTCTCTCGCTTCCCTTGTCATTTGAAGACAATTCTGAAACATTTTAAAATTCAATTAAGAGTGACAAGTCAGAATTTAAAACTTGATAGTTTCCCCCCAGCTAAGATCTGTTCTTTCACCCCGGGTCATCTTCTGTGGCTGTTTGTTTCCTTGCTCACTATGCGCTGCTGGAATGGGGAGCCCCTTTCCAGTGAGCACACAGTCCTAGCACCCTGTAACCTAGGACAGACGTACTCTAGAAACACCATGGGAGGGAAGAGGAGAGGGAGAAGAAAATGACTAGGCCTACTGATTTGACTTATAACATAAAATACTCTAAAACCGGACTGTGATGGGAGCTGCCATAACCTGATAAATTTGCTAAAGCTCAGTTGTAAGCGTCAGCTGGGTGCACGTGATCAAGCATAAGTCACATCTTACTAAAGCTGTTCAGAAAAAGCCAAGAGCCATTTATTTCCTGAGTGCCTGAGGCCCTGGCATCTAGAGCAGACAGAGGAAAATGTGCCGGTCAACTGCACTCTGTCTATGGACATGAAGGGGACTGACTTCCCTGGAGAATTTACTGCAGGAGAGTGGGCACCATGCAGGCACCACAGGCACTTCTGTCTGACAGATGCAGGCACTTAATATGAACGGTAAGGAGCCACAAAAGCACTACTGGGGTGACGGAATGACTCATCACCAGCCACAGCCAAAGTGAAGCAAGTTCACAGGCAGGGGGGATCCTAAAAGATTCCCAGAAACAAACACCTACCACAAAACCACTTAGTGCACACTCCACCCAGATACTGGATAACACATTGAGTTATCAGCAACTCTGCTGAGTGAGGTGTAGACGCCCGTGATAGTTCACACACAGCCTGGAAGTGCAGACTGCACTGACAACAGCAAGCACACACCTCTCCACAGAAGCTCCTGTCTATATACAGCTACTGTTTCTGTGTCGGTGAGGCTAAGACTTGACTTAGAAAACATGTAAGTGACAGCTCAAATGTGGACTCACAATTATTTAAGACATTTCAAATATATTCTCTAACATAACAAAATTGCTTCCTACAGCTATGGAATATGACTTAGGTTTTCTCAATGACTGCCATTAACAATTTTGCTGATTATTTTATTAGGGAGATTAAATATTTGCAGTTCCCTCTGTAATTCAAGTCCTGATTTAGTCATCCAACTTAGAGTGAGCACTTATGCAGTCTGCGGGACAGGCACAAACAAAATGGTTTCCTTGTTCCTGTCAGGGGCAGGGAAGAGCTGGTTCACTTGCAGGGTAAGCAAGATGGCTCAGTGGTGCTCACCACCCAGCCTAGATGCCCGGGCAATCTCTGGAACCCGTGTAAAAGGGGAAGGAGAGGACATCACAAAGTGGCCTCACACTTCCATATGTGTGCTATGACACATGCACCTCTTGACAATTTACAATACGTAGTATTATATACAATAATAGTAATACATGAACATTTTAAAAGACACTTGCAGCCTGCATTAGGAAAGACGCCCCTGAGCCCGTGAGGACACAGCACCGAGGATGGCCACTTTACGCTCACCAAGGCAATCTCCATCTCCACCACAGCACACAGAGGCCACGTCTCCCCCGACCAGCACCCTTTAATCTCTCAGAGAGTCAACAAGAGGGCAGCTGGATATGGAGCACATGGCTCTCTACAGAATCAGGACATGCAAAGGACATCCAAGCCACTTTCATCTCCAGGACAGGAGGACATGAGAGTCCTAGCGAAAAGAAAGGTCCCGGCAGGGTAGACGAGGTGCTCTCTCTGTCTCCCACAAGAATGACTCAGGGACAGATGTATGCTCTTGGTTGGGATCTTCTGCACATGTGTGCTGACCTATAAAGGCCATTGGGAACCGGCACCTGTCACATGCTGATCACAAGAACATGTTGTCACCTGGCTCTTATGGGTAATGACTCACATCTCCTTTCTTCTGGATCCTGCTCTGTATCTCTGGCACAGGCACATCAATATAGATGACCGCGTGTGGTGGCAGGTACTCTGGCAGGGTGAGCCGCTTCACTTCATTATAGTGGTCCACACCTGTAAGACAGCCCGTCATCAGCACACTCAGACGGCTACAGGCTTCCTCTGGCATGAGGATCTAAATCATGACTTAAGCTAACCGCCGCTCACAGGACAGACCCTGAGTGTGACTACCTTACTTCCTGGGCAAGCTGGAGGCACACCAGTGTTCCCTTCATATGTTTCTTGAGCTGGGATGCATGAGATACCTGCTGTGTATCCATTTCTTTACAATACATAGATAAGAGTCTGCTCTATAGGGAGTTCTAAGTATTTCACAAAGACTCAGCTGAAAAACGTAGGCTACACTTACCTGGGTTCAGAATGTCTGAGACATTGACGGACTACATGTAAGCATCTACTGGATCAGATCTCCACAGAAATGAAGTGGAGCACTGTAACTACCAGTCATTTCACCTCGGCACCCAACCACAGACACCACAGTCCTGATCACTCTTGTTATTAGAAAGAACAACCCAGGGTCATTCACGCACACCCTATCCACACTAGCCCCAACAGAGAGAATGCACTAGGTTCACAGTGGGATATCCACACTTGGATACCTCTATGCAGTGTTGAGAAAGCACTGTTTCCATGGTAAATCATCCAGAAGTGACAAGTGGGTGCTTGCACTCAGGCCCATGGAAAGACACTTCACTTCACTTCTGAACATTCCAGTGACCCTCAAGGTCACTGTGTTGAAGGTTATTGGGGACTGGCCTGTGACTAAGACCAAGGAAAACCAAGCGGGAGCAGGAAAAGTGTGATGGAGGAGGCAAGCCCATGGGACTAAGGCACCTGCCCCAACTGCCCTGACCATACCTACACAAGGAGAAAGCTATGGCTTGCCCTACTTGCTAGACTTGCAATGGGCCAGCCCTTGCCCTCTGGTGGCTTCCTCTGTTCCATCTCCATTTGCCTACTTGTTTATGTCAACATTCCTTTCCTTAGGCCGTTTTTCCCTCCCTGGATGCCACCAACATTAGCTACTGCACTTTTCCCTATCCCGGTACTAACATGACTGACTCCAGTCACTAACCCTACACAGGTGAAATCCGACGGTCACCTGCTACAGCACATGTGGCATGGCAGACCCCTCCCTCCCTTCAGCTCTCCGTGTACACACATAGCCATGCAGCTTTACCCTTTGGGGTTTCTGCCTCCTCAGATGTTGTACCCAGGACCTGGCTGCCTCTCTGTTATCACTCATGGGCATTATCAAATCAAAACAGGCCCACTGTCAGTGCTGACAGCAAACTACACCGGCTGGCATCCATTCCCCAGACCTCAGCCGCATGATTCTGTCTATACGTGTATCTTGAGCCCATCTCAGAGAATCTCACATCCAAGATTAGCAAACAGAAGCCCCCTATGCAGCCTACTGACTCCTCTTCATTCTAGAAAGTGGTCTTCCATTACACTCCTGCTGTGCTTCTGCAAGAGTGACCACTGTCCCAGTCTTGTCAGCTGTAGCCTCGGGAGGAGATAGCTCCTGTTATCAGTGTCCTGCAACCTAGGCTACCTACTCCCTCCCATCCCTCTCCACCAGTCTCCTTGCCCTGGACTTTCCCATGCATGTTCTCTCCAGACACTCCTGTGACCACCTAACTATTCAATCTTCCTTCTCACACCTAAAAGCTCAGGGGTCCCTCGGTACTTCCAGAAGGTATCCAAGCTTCCCACCCTAATAAGGTGCTCATCCTTGCCTGTCCATGCCCTGGCTGCCACTCCAACAGTTCCACTAGCCAGCCCCAGCCCTCTTTCTGTAACAGCACTCGCCTAATGCTGACGATTCAGCTGTCCTCACTCCCTCCTGCACTCAGTGGATGATCCCTGAAGGCCATTTACTACAGGAGCTGTTCCTGGCAATGACTCCTGCCCCTGCCACATTAGTCAGATCACAGGGTACTCTTCCATGGTACTCTGGATCAGCTGAGGGGTGTCAGGGATGCTGTTTTGTCACTCCTCACTTCTGCTGCCTTAATGCCTCTCCCCTAGGACAGCAAAAGCCTTGCTTGGTGTGCCTGCGCATCCAACCAGAACTGTGCTCACACTGGCTCAGAAACACCTGTTGACCAACCTCAAGTGCTGCCTGGAATGTATAGGCATGTTTCTGCCACTCTTTCTGCTCCCCACATATGGGAGCATGACCTCTAGCCATCCACCAGAAAATCAGCCAGAGCCTTGGATTGCAATCATTCCTTTGCTTCCCTCAGTTTCCCTGATCAAGTATACTCACGCTGACCTCCAGATTTCAGTGCCACTGCTGCAGCCATCAAGCACACAGGCAAGAACCCGACACTGAAACCGATCCAGGCCAAGCACAGCATGAGCAAACTCTTGACAGATATACCAATCTCCCTAGGTTTCCTAGGCCAGCCTACTTTAACCAACAACCTTTTATTCTCTCTCCTTTGTTAACTGCCAACCAATGCCAATGTTCCTAATATAGGGTCATCAATTAAAGGGAAGCAATGATATTGGCAACTGTGTAGGGCAGAGGGGAAAATAATAAAACAACCCAAGTCCATAAACCCATATGCTAGAAACTGGAGAGTCGAGCACAATTAGTTACACAGGCCAAGGAAAACTAGTGAGGCTGTAGGACTCAGTGAGGTCAGGGGTCTCCTAGGGAATGGCTATGGGAGCTGTGGGATGCCTGAGTATTCTGAGCACCAAAGATGCCACTTTACTTATATGGTAAGTGAAGGGACAAAAGACAGCTATTTAGGCTGAACTTGGTGAGCTCCCTTCTCCCCTGGGGAATATATCATGCCATTGCACTTATTTCATTCAAAATAACCTCCCCTCACCCTCTGCAGAGGCACACCCATCAGCAGAGGCACAAGCACACCAGGGGTATATCAAACAACTTACACTGCTTTCGGATGAAGCCCTGGTTGTACATTGCCTCCAGGAAGACAAAGTCACTGTAGATGGAGCGCTCCAAGACCACACCTTGTCCTGTAAAAATAAATGAACAAAAACTATGAACCAAATAGATAAAAAGTACTTCTAACTAGAAATTTTATTTTAGAAATGGAAAGCCAAGAATAACAAAAATGCAGTCACTTACAATTCCAGTTCTTACCACATACATTCAAAGTCCATGCTATCTACAAATAGAAAGCCCTTTAAACCACATTGTTCATTTGGTCTGAGGTAACAGTGTCTTCTCCATCGCCTGAGACAGAGGAGTGTGGGTCTCTATCAGATCCTGGAGGATCACTGGGACCTCTCCCATCCCGGCTACCTCCCCCACTCCATGTCCTACTCCTCATAGCCATCAGGGCCTTTCAAACATCTATTTTTTTTGTCATTTTTCTGAATATAAAGAACTAAGTATAAAAATGTTTCACGTTCAGGATAATTTCATGACTTTTAGTTATCTCATGTGTCTGGAAATGGGACAAATTCATGGGCCTGTCCCAAGAGGTGGAATGTCAGCATTTGGTATAACGCTGTATTACAGGGTCAAAGCAACGTTCCTTTTTGTCTTGAGACCATCTCCATCATAAAGAAAACTTTTTCTTCTCTTTCAACAGCAGCTTCAGATTACTGCCTCAGAGCAATCACGTCCCAAAGAACACCCTGGCTCAGAGTGTTCTGTTTTTTTTTTGACAGAGAACTGCTTAACACTCCAATCAAATCTGCTTTCTACATGAGCAGTTAGGTAACAAACTCAGATCACTTCTTTCTCTAGGTCCAGTGTCTTCTACATCTTTTAGCATGATCTGAGAGACATACAGCTCCCTGGGGACACTCCCATCTTTGAGGTGGTCGTGCTGAAGAAGCCAAAAGTGCGTGTTCCCGTTGCACTCAGTGAGAAGGTGAACTGGAGGCTCACAGAAGACACCATCTCACAATTGTATCTTGATCCCTCCTTCTCAGCAGCAGGACACTTCCGAATTCAGCCTGATGAAGTTGTGCTCAAACTTCCCAGTGGCCTCCTCTCTCCTCCAGAGTAAAGGCTTCCAAGTCTAAAGCTCTCCGATGGCAACTTCTCATCTTCATTACCAGGATCACCAGCTCCGTCCACTACAGTGTCATCACTCAAGATCTTCAAAAGTCCCTGCATCCATCCTGTGAGGAACGCACAGGCAGAACCTTCCCCTCTGGAAGAATGGGTCCTGGAACACCACTTATCACAGAGAAACTGGTTGTTCTGTAGCTTCACCTAGGTCCAGCTCCCCAGAGCATTCACCACCACTCACTCCTGTCATGCAAATTTCCAGTCAGTCTTTATCCTCCTATTAACATATAAGCCTCCTTCCTGTAGTGTTCCTGGCTTTTGGAATAAGTCTAACACACAACAGGGAGTCGCAGACTATTTAGTGACTGAACACAGCATAAATGGAAACAAATCACTGTGCACTTAACATGTAAAGTGTTTCTCTTTAATTTAAGAAACAAGTAGTTAGAAAATAAGGTAGAATATGCTTCTAAAAGAAAATGAACTGTCCTGAAAGCCAGCATCATTCCCAAGCTACTGCTTGGGTTTCCCTGAGGTAGGTCGTGGTACAGAACCAAAGAGGGAGACTGCAGACCATGTAAGTTTCTAGCAATAACACTAACTGAGACCCGAGCTTCCATCCATGGAAGGAAGTAATCATTAATACAATTGGAAAATAAAAACCAGCTCCTTCTGTGACAACTTCAGCATCACTTGGGGTCTGTGGACCCCTGTGTGTGCTCAGGACCCCCGAGTCCCAGGCCACGGGTCCCAGTGCAAGCTTGTGAAGCAGCCTCACCAACTACCTTGAGGTCTTGCTGAGACACATCCTTGTTCTCACTGCTCAGAATCACTGCGTCAACTTCCAGGGGCAGCGGAACTTGTTTCTAAACCCACCATCAACCACAGGGCAGCCACTGCCACAGGAAGTAGACATAGCCTTGAATATAAACCACCCAGTCTTTCTCAAACAATCTGTCCATCAATCATGGGCAGTCATACAAAGTTGACAGAGCCTTACACACCAGCTACCCCTTCTCCCACTCAATCCACTCATCAGCCGCAGGGCAGCCACTGCTATAAGGGGTAGACACAGACTTAAATACTGACCACATCCTTCCTCCCCGCCTCCCCCTACACTATACACCACTGTGAAGGCAGTTCCTAGGACACACACACAGTACACCACTGTGAAGGCAGTTCCTGGGACATATACACACAATATACCACTGTGAAGGCAGTTCGTGGGACACACACAAAGTACACCACTGTGAAGGCAGTTCCTGGGACATATACACACAATATACCACTGTGAAGACAGTTCCTGGGACACACACACAGTACACCACTGTGAAGACAGTTCTTGGGACATACACACACACAATATACCACTGTGAAGACAGTTCCTGGGACACAGCTTTGGCTACAGGATCAGTGGATGCCCACTGTTCGTTTTCAATCCATTCTGGGTTGAGGACAGGGAAGGGCTGTATTCTGACCTTGTTTACACACACTCTGGCTCTGTAATCTACTCTTCTCTCATGTCCTAACTGCTTCCTAGGCTCTGCTGCCAGTCTCCCACTCTCTACTTTGCTTGCCCAAACATTTACTAGTATAACATCTGAGGACACACTTGCTTTAAACTCAGTGGGCCCCAGGACCCCCACCTCTGCTACCTTTTCAAGGTTTAACTGTTAACCTGATCACTGTCCCTCCAGAAAACCCACTGACTGTCATCCATGTCTCTCTCCATAGGACATGAAGTCCATCCTTATGAGTGTGACTTCACATTCTCCCAGTCACCTGTACACTGTCCTCCAAACACAGTGCCATACCATCTACAAGCTGCAGATCTCCCTGCCGTGGGCAGCAATGTTAGGCTACACTATTCTGAGCATGCATCAACAGGGATTCTGAGGACTTATGATCTTACTGAAAACACAGAACTTACCTATAATTACCTTTTCAGAAAAACTTAGAAGAGAATCAAGGAGAATGCCCTCCACCCCCGACCAAGGACACAACGGTACCTGTGCTCAACAGGTGCTCCAGGGCGTCTGAGTACTGCAGGAGGCGGTTGGCATACAACCAGGACTGCAGGCGGTAGCTGTTGCCATCATTGCTTTTGGGATCGTCATAAAATTTCTCAAAACTACAGCTGCCACTAAATTCTATGTCGAGGGGCTTTCCGTCACCTGTGGTGCTGCTTGCGTACTGTATCCCTGCTTCTGGAAAGTGCTTCATGCCTAAGGAGAGAAGACCTGGATGAAACATGGGCAGACCACTCACTCCTACTTCAAGTATGTGGTTGGACAGAAACCCGAAGAAAATTTGAATGTTATTGTCAGGGCTGCATGTCAAAACCCAAGGAAAAGTCCCCTTTGTGCCCATACTTCATCACATGCCCAAGAAACACATTCTGTGCTGGATAATGGCTAAAGAGTATGTTTCTCCATTCTCTACAACCAAGCAGCTTAGCACAGCCCCTTCCAACCCTCACCACTGCTGCAGTCCAATATCCACACAGGCAAGCAGGCAGATGGCTGCACGAGGAACTGAAGAGACCAGCCTGTTTCCTATCACCCCATGTGAGAGTGGATGTAGTGACAGCTCCTCTGGCAAGGCAGCCCAGAAAAGGATTCTGCTGCACTCCCAGGTAAAGTCCAATTCCAACTGGTAACTGCCATGGATGTTTTAATGTTATCTTTGAAAGATTAAAGATTATTACCTCTTCCCCAATTTAGTCTTTTCGAGATAGGGTCTCCCCTTGAAGCTATGGGTGGCCTAGTACTCACTATATAGCCCAAGTGTGCCTCAATCTCATGGCAGTCCTTTCACTACAGCCTCTCAAGCACTAAGGTTATAAGCATATACTCAACAAGCAATTTAAAAATGTAAAAGACCTACCTTAGGCCTAAATCTACCTAGTCAATAGCCAAGCAAACTCTAGGTGGAATAAGCAGCCACACGCCTGAGGCGCCGCGGCCATTCTGCAGGGTGCGTACCTAGCTGCTCTGCGATCTCCCTCGCGAGCTTGTTCTTCCCCGAGCATATGTTCCCATCGACTGTGATCACGCGGCTGTGCTCATGCAGCTTTTTGGTTGTCTTATCACCAAGAATGGAGGCCAAAAGCCCATACCTTAGCTTGCAGTGCACACTGGTATGAATTCGTCCCTGAAAAACACAACGCCACATCACCACTCTGGTTACTGCAGGATTTAGCAGCTATTACGTAAAACACTAAGGCCCCTCTTGTTTAATGACCTGACTCCTTTCTTCCTCAGTGCAAGCTCTCTGGGAGCTGACTTTTACCTCCTTAGGTCTTAGAACAGGGCCAGAAACAAGGACACTTGCTATGCTAAGGAAAACTAGATGGATGGATGGACAGAAGGGTGGATATGGACAAATGGCAGCAGGGAGGAGGACTTGACAGAATAAAAGTACCTCTCTGATCTAGGCTTTTGCCTTCAGCCTGTTACCTAATTACCCTACTACTGAGTAAACATTTAAGCATGAGAACACTCTAAAAGTTAAGCTTCCGTAGAGTTCCCATGCTCTAGGCCTGAGTATGATGCCCTCAACAGTGGGAACTGTCCACGACCCACAAACAGAGCAATATAAGCATTATTTTTGCCTTTCTTCAATTCCATAATCACCCACAGAAGCTGAATGCCCAGGCTCTGTGGAAGCAGCATCATCTCCCTCTCCTGCTGCACAGATGCAAAGGTCCTCTCGTCCACGTGGCAAGGGACGTCCTCATAAGCAGTCTCCCAGTCTAGTCATCAAACTGAAGCTAAAGTAATCCACTCTCCCCAAATAAAAATCACCAAGCTGGAGACAGTGGAAGATTCATAATTAAAAGGTGAACAATTTTAAAATAAGCAAACTGATCTCACAAAGATCATGCAGATGGCATGTAAGTGCCTAAGATACTCCCTCGGGAACCAGCTATGTGTGGTCACTGGGTGCTCATAAATGCAAATGACTTCTAGCACCCATATCAGCAAGACAGCATTCAGCAGGGTGCTCTGTACTGCTACGGAGTGCAAATGGGACAGTCGATGGAAGACAGATGTTATAAAACTTCAGCCTCACTAACGACCCAGCAAACACATCACCCAATGATAAGAAACATTCCCACAAGAAATCTGCACGCATACTTAAATCAGCTTTTATTTTTCATAATTGCCTTGAAGGGGAAACTACAAAGATGGTCTTCAATAGGTAAATGAATAAATCACAGTATAACCAAATTATGGAATTAAAGGAATGACTAAACAAGCCATAAAGACACGAGTGAATCTTTTTTTCCCTTGCTGTTTTTGGAGGTTGATTTTGAGACAAGAGTCTCACTATGTAGCCCTGACTGGACTGGAACTCCCTATATACTAGACTGTCCTGCCTGTCTCATGCTGGGATTAAAGGTGTGTACCACATCTGGCTTAAGATTTATCATTATTTAGATTTAGTGTGTGTGTGTGTTAAAAGAGAAACAAGTACTCATAACAGCTGTGCAGCCCCACAAATGAATTTAAGTGTAACTGTAAAAGTATATGTAAAGAAAGCACTGTGACAGGTAATACTTGTGACTGACTACAGGAGTCTAGAAAAGGCAAAAGGATAAAAATCATCAAAAGTGCAGTGGCTATCATGAGTTAAAAGGGTAGAAAATAAATGAATATTAAAGACAATAGATTTTTTTTTAGGGCTGTGAACTACTCTGTGTGTACTGTAAAGATCAAGATATAACACTGTTCATTGTGCAAAACAATAAAACTTCACAGCATAAGGAATGAACTCATTGCATGCAAAACTTACTTAGGGCGGAACGCAGAGTGTGACTGAACTTCTGACATATAAATATGTGAAACAACCTCACTGAAGGGGGTGATATGATGAAGATACAAGGAAATGAGTGTAGTCTCTAAGGGTCAAGGACAAAAGTGCATGGTGAATATGCTTTGTGCTCTAGTTGGTGTGACCCTAATGGGGCTTAGGCTGACAGTGCTAATTCATAATAGGGCTTAGGATGACAGTGCTGATCCGGGGTCACATTCACACACACCTCATCTCTCTCTGGCTCACATCCATCCATACCTCTCTACACACAGATCACTCCTGTTCAAAATAAAAACCCTTAGCATGACTGTCAACCTCTTTACAATTTAACACCTATGTACTTCCAGCTACCAGAAAGCAAAGACGTTATGATGCCGTCATAAACCGTGTCCTGTTTCCAGCCACGATCCCCTAGGCACCTACTATCACCCACTATTCTGCATGCACTTTAAGAAGTCCTAATCCTCCTCAATCTACCCCAAATCTCTGCTGCTGCTCCACATCACATCACCCTAGAGTCTACAAGGCGTTCGACAAAGCAGCTTCACCAATCACTGAATGGATGAGCATGCGGGCCCAGGCTCCAGGGCTCCGGCATCTCGGTTCCCCGAGTGCAGCCGGGAAAATGAGTGCCGCTGCACCCGGAGCTGTGAATGGAGGCCTCAAGAGCTCATGGGTCTGACCGACAATGCCGGAGCGTCAGGGCTTGGAGCCGACAGGCCAAGATCCAAGCGAGGAGAGCCACCCGCCGCTCACCACGCGCTGGGCTCCCGCCGCGAGGCCGCGCGCGGGCGCCGACCCCGGGACAAGTCTCAGCAACCTCAAGGCCATTGCTTCACCGTCTGCGCCAGCTCAAGGACCAGAGGGACATGAACGCGACGGGGTCCTATCTTGTTTACGGCGCGCTGTCATGACGTCACTACAGAGTGTTCGCGGCGCCTGTCAAAAAAAATCTTCCGGGATTGGGACAGGGCGGGCCCAGAGGGAAGGGGCGGAGCTTAGGTCTAGATCAAAGCTCTGAGGCGTGGGCTTGGACACTGAGTGTGGGGAAGGGTGAGAAGACCCGCCTGAGCCTTGTGAATTGCACGGAGGCTGCCAGCTTTGAGCTCGGGTTCTCGCAGATGCTTTGAGTTGTATGACAAAAGTGTGACCCCTATCTCCTGGTGTTCTGTGGGGTGGATCCGCTCGCTCCCCAGATTCTGTGGTGAGAACCTGCCGCCTCCACGCTCCACGTCCCTGGGTTCTATGGACGTCACCTACTCCCAGTCTGAGTTCTGTAGGGAGGATCGGCTCCTTGCCCTCCTGCTCGCTGAGGAGAAAGCCCATTCCCCATCTGGGTTCTATGGACATCACTCTCTCTCCCATCTAGGTTTCTAAGAGAAGGACTTTTCACCAGCCTGAATCCTGTGGGTGCCACCCGCTCACGACCGGGTTCTGAGCTCTTGTAGTACTGAGAGCTGAGATGGCCTCAGACCTGGTACCACCAGGTATCTCCAGTGCAAAGCTCCCTGCTTCACTTCCACAGCTGCCGACTTTTTCCAAGTCACCTCTTGAAAAGCTCTTCAGCTCCAAGACCCTCTGAGGCTCAGGAGGAACAGTGTGAAGAAGCCAGGAAAGGGGTGATAGGGAGAGGAACCCCAAGACAATGAGGAGTTCTGGGCTGTGGCTCACCTTCCACGTAGTTGACACAAAACCTCCCCTGCATTTCCGGATTTCTAGAAAGCCCGGCATCCTTTCCAGTACACTGAGAACGGGAGGGGGACCCACTCCACAGTCCTCTTGCGTCTTGATCATCATCTCATTTCCCAACCCCCCTCCAGTGCACTAGGTGTCAGGCTCAGGCTCACCCTTAAGGAAAGACACTGTCCTTACCTCCCTAGATAAGGTCTCTGTGTTTGGCAACTTCCACTGGTGGCATAACGAAAAAAAAAAAAAAACACCGGTGCATGTAATTAGCCTGCAGGTCTTCATGGTGCTACTTAAGCCGCAGTCAATTCATCAGCCCCGAGTTTGCTGCAAGCTTTTGTTGTGAGTTAACTGTGATTTTTTTTTTTAAATATCAACTATTGAGTGAGCCTTGAATCCCTGGATTAACCCTCCCTTCCATTTGATTATATGTCATTCTTATAGTAATGAGTTCTTAAACTTTTAAAAAGAATTCTTTACATGTTCATTAAGAGTAATGGTCTATGATTATTAGCTAGGGACTCTTTTTGTCTTGCCTTAATATCAAGATACTATAGGCTTCAGCAAAGTGACCTGGGGAGCATTTCCACACTTTTATTTTCCCTGGATGCTTGTGACCAGCGAGTGTGTTTCTTGATGGGGGTTGAGGCTCTCCTGGAGCTGTTGGAGGAACTCTTCAGCCATTCAGAGGGAGAATAAGCCTACTTGGGTGGCAGCTCTCATCCCCATCAAGACTTTTCTATAAAATAGCTGGATGAAGGAAGCCTTTCAAATGGCAGCAGAAGGCTCCTGTCTTAGTCAAGGTCTTTTTTTTTTTTTATTCCTGCACAAACATCATGACCAAGAAGCAAATTGGGGAGGAAAGGATTTATTCAGCTTACACTTCCACATTGCTGTTCATCACCAAAGGAAGTCAGGACTGGAACTCAAGCAGGTCAGGAAACAGGAGCTGATACAGAGACCATGGAGTGGTGTTGCTTACATAATGACTTGCTTTCTCTGGCTTGCTCAGCTTGCTTTCTTATAGAACCCAAGACTACTAGCCCAGTGATGACACCACTCACAATGGGCCCTCCCATCCTTGAAAACTAATTGAGAAAATGCCTTACAGCTAGATCTCATGGAGGCATTTCCTCAAGGGAGGCTCCTTTCTCTGTGATAACTCCAGCTTGTGTCAAGTTGACACACCGAATCAGCCAGTACAGCTGGGGACTTGACCAGAGAGAATAATGGAGAATGGAAGTTTCATATCTAGCCCTCAGTGGATGAGTTTTTAAATCATATTTGGTGGCTGAAGCAAAACTGTAGCATCATTAGTGTAGTGCCCCCATATATATGTACAGGAAATATTCAGAATAATCATATTTAGAAAATGGGGGACAATTAGAAGAACCTAAATGAAAGTAATGTTTAGTTCAGCATGAGGAAGAGTGAACCAGCCTTATGGCAGGTTGTTGTAAATTTATCTGCGTACTGTAACACCTAGACTCACAGCTAAGAATACTGCAAAATCTTGGTCCCTAAACATAAGCAAATAATGATGGGATTCTTTTAAAGCTGTGCATAAGGTATCTATTGGAAGGTGGAAGATAAGCAGAGGAAACAGAAAACAGTGATTTCATGTAACTAAAAACCTTCTGCGCAGCAAGAGAAACAACTAAAAGAAGTGATAGCCTACATAATGGAAGAAAATCTTTGCTTGCTACATACCTGTCCTACAGTTGATGTCTAGAATATACAAAGAACTCACCAAACACCAAACAGCCCATTCAATAAACACACCAGTAAAATGAACAGGTAGTTCTCAAATAATGAAACATTGGTGGCCAATAAACATAAAAAATTTAGAGACATTAATGATAAAAAGAAATGCAATAAAGAGTAAATTAAGATTCATTAAAATCAATAAAGTCATACCTAAGCCCTCACATTATATGACAACCTTAGTAGTTCTTTTTTTTAAAAAAAAAGATCTATTTATTTATATGAGTACACTGCAGCTGTCTTCAGACACACACTAGAAGAGTGCATTAAATCCCATTACAGATGGTTATGAGCCACCATGTGGTTGCTGAGAATTGAACCCAGGACCTCTTGCAGAGCAGTCAGTGCTCTTAACCACTGAGCAATCTCTTTAGCCCCAACCTTAGTAGTTGTATGTTGAAGAAATTGAATCTGTAATTCAAAAATCACTTAACTCAAAAAGAGAAATTTCTTAAGCACATATGTTTTACTGAAGAATTTTACTTAATACATAAATATATAACACTAAATGTGTAGAGTCTCCACCAGCAAACAGAAGAGATAACGCTTACCACCGCGTGCTATGCCGCCATAACTGTCAAGTCCGCCAGCAAGCAGAAGAGATAACGCTTACCACCGCGTGCTATGCCGCCATAACTGTCAAGGACAGTCCAAAATTTAAGCCCTCCATAGATCAGTGTCTTTTATGAACTTATGTAAGAAAACATCAGCAAATTGAATCCAGCAACACATAAAATGAGTGGTACACCACAAGCAAATGGGATATTGTCCAAAGATGAAAAGGCACCTGATGTCTTAAAATCAACTAACATAAAAAAACAAAAGAAATATATGTGATCAGACTGCCTGGTTCAGGGAAAGCATTTGACAAAACTCAATATGCATTTAAAATAAAAGAACACATCTGCTCCAACAAAGACTACAGGGTGAATGGGATTTGACTTTTTAATAAAAACCAAGGGTTTCTGCTTTCCCTACACTTACTCAACAATGAAACCCCTGACCCACATAATAAGTACAAAAGATATAAGTAGAAAAGAATGAGATACAACTATTTGTAGATTATTGCCACGCCCGCCTCGCCAGCAAGGATGACACAACAACAGGATCCTTCCTCACGCACTTTATTGGGGAACACACCATTGATTGTAAAGCGAAAGACCCCAAGCCTGAAATGGGTGCTGCTTAAATAGTTATCACAACTGTGTATAAGTGTCTAATTGGTGCTTCTTGCAGAACTTCATTTACATACTGCTCGGGAGGGTGAGGAGCTGCGTCTGAAAGATATGCAGGCTCACAGCAGGTGTTTACGACCCTGAATGCAGTGGTTTTCCACCTCAAACAGAGGAAACAAGCGCCATCTTCTAATGGTGGCTCCTTACAGATTATATTATTTTTACTCAGGAAAATCCAAAGGAGTTGACAAAATAGCTTCTAGAATAAATAGCAAGTTCAGCCAGGCTATGCAATCCAAAAGGGAAAAAACAAACAAAAATAAAACACACACACACACACACACACACACACACACAGAGATAGATAGATAGATAGATAGATAGATAGATAGATAGATAGAGAGAATTATACAGTATTCTGTATGTTAACAGCATATAAGTCAAAGCTGAATAGCAGATAGAATTCAATTTATATTTGGTCTAAGTAAACTTGTAATACTTGAGTTTAAATATAACATATCTGTAGGTGGCAACATTTAAAACACTGATATAAGAAATCAAAGAAGATCTGAAAAAGGTATATGTATCTATCTATCTGTCTATCTATCTATCTATCTATCTATCTATCACAGATCAGAAGAAACAGGCAATGTCAAGTCTTCTAAGTTTAATGGAGATCCAACTAAACCCTCCACAAGGATGTTGTAATGGACAGAGACAAGCTTTATTAAGTTGCAGAAAGGTAAAATGCTAGAATAGTCACAATGAATTTAAAAAGAAGAATGAAGTCAGAGGAGTTACTCTTCCATTAATGAGTTTTATTACGTGTTGATACAGATCAAGAACATGTAGTGGTGAGGAGAGCTATGGTGTTCATAGAACAAGAACCAATGAAGCAAAGAGTTTCCACAAATGAATCAGCACACATATTCTCAGCTGTTTCTACAACGGTGCAAACGTGGTTCCATGGCAGGCCATGGGAGAGTGAATGGCTAGCTGTGGGGAAGCAGATGAACCTTCAATAACCTTACCACAAGGAAACAACAACAACAACCAACAAAATCAAGCTTACCGTCTCAAAGTGGAGCCTGGATTTGAATATCATATGTAAAACTACAAAGCTTTTGGAAAAATAGGAACATTTTGGGCATAGAAGTAAGGAAAAAATTCTAATTTGATATCAGAAGCATAATTCAAAAAAGGAAACAGGTTAACTAGACTTATCAAACCCAGAAATGCCTGCTTTGTGAGAGCCATTCTTAAGA